ATTATTAACATCAAAATATCCCAAGACACATTTCTGATAGTGCAGAAATTCAAAAGCTAAGAGCTATTTTAGGGGGTGAAGAGTGGAACTATACAGGCACTGCCACAGGCAGTTTCTCCAGGGAACAGACTTGCTCTGAAATCTAGCTGTGGTGGTAGCTACACATATAATACATGATTAAAAATGCCAAAAAACCATACATATGCACACGCACGCACACACACACACAAAGTAAAACCTGACAAAAGATTGCAGAATATACTGAGGTTAACTTCCTGGCTATAATATTGGATTTTGTAAGACAGGAAGAGCTTAAGGGTTGGGTACTTGACACCTCTACTTTCTTTCTTTTTTTCTTTTTTTGACTTTTTTTCCTTGCCTCTTTTTTTCATTTATTATCCTTTTTTTAAACAAACATTTACTTGAGAGATAGTATGGCAGTAATTGGTATGAAAAGACAAGCAGTATGTATTTAGAAGGCCAGATTGACAGGCATTCCAAGCATGACCCTAGTATTACACACTGCTATCTTCAGTGCAGTTGCTTAGTTCACAGGTGTCAGCACATAGAGTTTTGCTCTTTTCTCACTCTCTGTTGGTTTAAGATAAAAACACTTATTGACTAGCTATATATATGCTGACACCTCTACTTTCTGCAACTCTGTAATTGTTTCAAAACAAAAAATGTACAAAAGAAATATTCTAGATTATAAACTTAATGATTAACTCTACCTTCTGCACGGAGCTGATTTTTCCTTGCAGGTACTGGAGGAGACTGTGCTCTGGACACTGAAGTTTCCTGTTTAACAATAATGGAAAAGATATGCTTAATACATCTTTTCTGCTTACAAGTTTGAAAGGAGTTAAGAAACTAAACACATCCTCCTGAAAACATGCCCATATCTCTACAGACTTTTCCTGATCCTCAGAATAGAAGAGACCTTGAGCCTCTCCAAAGAGAAGAGACACTCTTCTCAAGTCACACTTTCTGCAACCTCTTCCTCTCTGCAAACTCCCTCTTCTCAACCTATGCATAAAACCAGTTTCTAAAGAAAAGTCTTGGGTGGCCAAATAGCTCAGTGGATTAAAGCACCTGCGAACAGGCCAGGGACCTGCCATGCTGGCTACACCCCCAGGGCACACTGAGATGGCAATTGAGACTGAGCAGGGTGGCGCGTGCCTGTAATCCCAGCTCTTGGGAGGCTGTAAACAGGCGGATCACTACAAGTCTGATCTAATAGTGAGGCCCTGAATACTCTATAGACCCCTCCCTAAAATACAACAACAGCAACAAAAAAATTTTTTTAAAGTCTTATTTCACCTTTCTTCACTCACTAGCTACTATCCACTCTCCCCTTCCCTGGACAGCCAGGCTTCTCTAAGAATAATAAATGTGTATTTCTGGGGTCTAAGTCCTTATTCTCATTCACCCCTCAGCACAGAGTTTTTGCCTTTGCTTCTGCAACACTGTCAACACTGTCCTCACCAAACTTGTGACGTGACTTCCAAGTAACACATTCAGTGGACATTTTAATCATTGTTTTACATGGCAGTGGCAACTTACTCTGCTTCTATTCCTTTTTCTGCTTCTCAAACACTATTAACTCCCCAGTACCACATCCTCGGCCCTCTTTTTCTCTCCCTCTATACACTCTTCCTAATCAAATGACTCTGAGGAGCAGCAATATGCTAATGGTTTCCAAAACTGTCCCAGCCCAAAGCTTTCAACAGTTCACATTTAAGTTGTCACTGACTGCTACCTGCCACACTGTCAATAAATACCACTATCCATAAGTCTTAAATGTTTCATGAAATTGTCTCCCTTTCTCAGTTCTTCACATCAATGTCTTTAAGTCCTCAAAGTCTCACACCTGGACTTCAGCAAAAGCATCTTGTCTCCTCCACATTTAGTCTTTTCTCTCTAAGACAACACAATTCAAGATGAAAGTGGCTGTTCATTCTCTTATTTAAACACTGCAGTGAATTTCCATGTATTTTTGCACACAGACCACTTGAATTAGATTTTCAGAGGATAGAATCAGGAAAATAAATTTTTCTTCTTTGACTACTGTGTCACGTAGCCTGCTGGAAATCCACAAGCCTATGAAATGATATCCAAGCCCTTTCACTCCCTCAGATATCAGTGCCCTACTTCCCTGTTGCCTCAGTATAGCAATTCCTAACTGTTTGCTATCAGGGAAAAATTTCATGGAAGACCATTTTTCCAAGGATGAGGAGTGGTCATTTCTTTTTTTATCAGTGTGTGCTTGCAATACATAGTAATTACATTCCCCAGTGCTAGCATCACCACCTCAGATCATCAGGCAAGAGTCTCATAAGGAGTGACCAACCTAGATCCCCGGCATGCCCAGTTTACACTAGGTTTTAGGCTCCAATAGCAATCTAACGCCGCCACTGACCTGATAGAAGACAGAGCTCAGGAAGCAACACAAGCAATGAGGACCTGCCATAAGTACAAATGAGGCACATTCTGGGCCTCCTGCTTCAGCACAGAGGGGCCAGTAGCCAGCAAGTTTCTCCATATGGTCTATCCTCCCTCCAAGTCAGCTGATCTTGCACACACTGAAAGTCCTTTGCCTTCCCCTTCATGGCAAATTCCTAATTCCTCAAGCATTAACTCAAGGATCAAACCTTCTGGAACATTTTCCTGGCTCACTTTGGATTGTAACTTAGCCTAAAATGTAAGAAACTTAATGAGCATAAGTAGAGTTAGCTAGGAGATAATTTCCAAAGAAAAGGATCTCTTCAGAAGCCTGGAGAAGAACTATTAAATTAGTTTTTCAAAAGAATTAAACTTTAAGGCAACAAGTCCTATCAGTTACACTTTAAGAATAGATCAATGTAGACATTACAGTATTTCAGGTCTAAAATAATTTAACCTGTCTATGTGTGATGAATACAAAAGTTTCATTTAGTGCCTTTAGTTTAAAATAACCAAATGAAGAAAAACAAGACAAGAACAGAAAGTATATACATGAATGAAGGAACTTATGATGCTGTCAACCGAAGGAGGTCTTTGGAGTTTGCTTGTAATTTTGTTCTGAAGAGCAGGAACTACAGGAGAAGCCTGTCTCAAGTGCTGAAAAAAAAATTACATATATGTACATATATACACATACATACTACATACACATACATACGTAACTATATAGCATAAACTATATATACTATAGAGGAATACAAGACCAAGAAGTTCAAGATGTTATTATTTATAATAAAATATATTTTATCAATACTATATAAGATCTAATGTAATGGTTATGATAAACACAAATAGATTCAGATATCCTAGTTAAAAGTACACAAGGGGCTGGGGAGATTGCTCAGGGCCTGAGTTCAATCCCTGGTTCTGAAAAAAAAAAAAAAAAAGTACATGAGATTTAGATGAGGATGAAAAAAAATCAAACTTCAATAAAGCAATACTATTCCACATATAGAAAAGATAGTAAAAGTGAAAAATCATCTTAATAATGGGTACAATAACAGTAACAAATTCCTTGTCTAGAAACAATATACATCAACCTCTAAATCTAGATGTGCTAGCATCAAGAACACCACAGATAAGGAAATTCTCCAAATTTCAGGAGAGCTCAATGTCTCTTTTAAACGATCTTTCAGTAAATTTAACTCATCATTTCTATTGTCATAAATCCTGGCGTGAGATATCAAACAGCATAGCTAAACCTATTAGAAATGGCTCATCGCAAAATAAAAAACAGATGACAGGAAACAGGAAGACAGACTATGTGGAGATAGGAAGAGGCTGGGACAGGGGAGTAAAAAGAACTGAGAGGTGTTTTGTGTATGTACCAACTCCCTATGATGACTGCAGTATTACATACTGCAAACATATACTAATATAAAAGGGGAAAAATTAATATAAAAAAGAGGAAAATGACTCATGCTGCCAGTCACTGCAGTGTATACTCTAATCTTATCACTCTGAGAGGACAGGGCACAAGGATCACAAGTTCCAGCCCACCCTGGGCAACTTGGCCATGGGGCAAAATCCTATAAGAGATCTCTTCCTCCTGAGGAGAGCAGAAGGAGGGAGATGGAAGAGACAGAGGAAAAGGAAGAGGAGGAAGAAGAAGAGAAAAGAGAAGAGGAAGTAAAAAATGACTCATGTTATATGAGGCAGATAACATACTGAACAGTAAACCAAATCACATCCTAAATACACCAGACTAATCCAACAATTAAAATGAGTTTTTCATAAATCCTGTCTTGAAGGGCCTGCCAAATAGCTCAGCAGATTAAAGTGCCTACAAGCAGGTCCAGGAGCCAGGGGGTTCGATCCTTGGGCCTGCTGGGTCCATCCCGCCCTTGGGGCCATGCTGAGATGGCAATTGAGACCGAGCATGGTGGCCTGAGCCTGTAATCCCAGCTCTTGAGAGTCTGTAAACAGGAGGATCACGAGTCCAATCTAGTAGTGAAACCCTGAACATCTTATAGACCTTTCCCTAAAATGCAAAAAAAGGAGCCAGGAAGATAGCTCAGTAGAATAAGCGCTTGCCTGGAAAGCACAAGGGCCTGAGTTCAATCCCAGGTTCTGCAAAAAAAAAAAAAAAAGAAAGAAAAAAGGAAAGAAATCCTGCCTTGAAGAAAAGAGTATTATATAAATTCCTGTAAATCATTTTCTGACATCAAATTGGGCCACACTTACAAAAGAGACAGGAAATTTCAAAGTATAGACTCCATGCTAACTACATCAGAGTATCTAAGGACAGCTGTAAAATACAGATTTCTGTATGTCCCTCAGGTTCCCTACAGGTGAGAACTCAGGAATATTCATTTTTATAATAAGCCCACAGTGACACTTATACATACAAATTTTTAAATGTAACTGAAAGATCATCAGGAGTATGAAATGGATCCTGATGAGGGCCAATTAGCTATTTCTAAAGAAGAAACCTTTACCTAATAACTTGATTAAAAACTTTGCGTACCTAACCTGGAACATCAACCCTCTGTCTCAGAGATAAGGACTCAAAATCATTCTGTGGTATAGCACCACTTTCTTTTTTAACTCCCAATCTATGATGGGCAATCGGATAGAACAGAGTAAGAATGAATTACTACAAAAATAAAAATTATTTCATGGAAAATGAAATTCAAAACTCTTTTATAAGTAGAATAAATAGATATAAAATTACTGACAAGTTATTATAAGTTGGGGGCCAGGGAGATGGCTCAGTAGAATAAGCACTTGCCTGGCAAGTGCAAGGGCCTGAGTTCAATCCCCGGTTCTGGAAAAAAAAAAAAAAAAACTTAAAAAAGTTATTATAAGTTTCCAAATACTATTTCTGTTGTGAACTTCTTAGAAAAAGCAGTTCACACGGCGTTGTGTCTACACACTGCACGCTTTGCTTGCACCTCCTAAGGCCACAGGAACAAGACTGATTTTGACCAAGGTAAACTCACTTCAGTTATTCAGCAGAAAGCACCAATAAAGTCCAGGGACAGCACTATGGAAATTCAGCACACTGAGTCTAGACTTAGCAGGAAGAACAAAGGGATGCAAATAACATCTCCTCCCTGTCCCTTCCTTCTCACAATTCCACAGTGTCTCGGTAAAGGTGAGTGAAGTGTGGGTTTGACTGACAGTTTTGTCTGAAATTTACCTTTGTCTCTTCCCCAATTTTACTTTCTCTTTCATAGTAGTGATGAAGTTGCAGGTTATGTTTTTCTTCTTCTTCTTTCTTCTTTCTTTCTACTTCTTTTCGCCTTTCTTCTGCTAACCGAATAAGCTCTTCATTTTTTAGTCTTTGCTTTAAATTAAAGAAAAAATACACATTTCATATGTACATACCAGAGTACATTCAGATATTCACACTATCGCAATGAAACTAAAACTGCAGACAATGGGTGTGTTCTTTAAAAATAAAAATGTCTGCTTAATAAACATTAGACGTACTTGATAAGATCTGTCAACACATAACTTTCTTTGTGTGATATTGAGGCTTCAATTATGGCCTCAAGCAGGCTAAGCAAGTGCTCTGTCACCAAAGTACATCCTCAGCCCTTCTTTGTATTTTGAACATGCTATCACAGACTTACACAGGATAATCTCAACTTGCGACCCTCCTGCCTCAGCCTCCAGAACAGCTGGTTTACAGGCATGTACTACCAACCACGGCAGGCTTACTTTTTGGCTACTAACTTCCCTTTTTAAATCAGTCTCCCACCTCAGTAAAATAATATCCAGTGAGCAGATATCAATCTCATTTTTCTAAATGCACTTCAAGACGGTTAGAGCTTATAAGTAACAGATGCCTTATCACATCAAAATAACAGATCTGACTAAACAGTAAAACAGAGCAGGGGAAAAATGTACCTCCTCCTCCTTCTCCCTTTTCTTCTCTTGTTCTTCTTCATATTCTTGCTGAATTCGTGCTCTCTGTTCTGCAAGACGTTTTTCTTCTTTTTCTTCTTCAATTCTCAGTCTTTCTCGTTCTGCTTCTTCTCTTTGTTTCTTTTCCTCAATCTAAAGAATTAAGGTTAGTCATTATTTTATAAAAATATTGAAAAATTAAAGTAACCTGGTGTCCAACAAATTCAACATTTTATAACCTCTTTTGTAAATTCCAAAAAGTTGTTAAATTTTTTCAGTGTCCTATAATTAAGTATAATGTACTGTTAAAAGCCATTAGTTAAATTTCAACTCTTATGAAACACAGACTGTGTAATCTTAAGAAACTTTCTTGTCCCCTATTTTCTTATGAGTTAAGTTACTAATATTTATACCCCAAAAGAATGTGTAAAGAATTACAGGAAACAATGTATGAACATAAAAGCTCCTCCTATATTGAAGGTATTCAGTGAATATTCATGATTTCATCATTCTATAAAGATTGCTATTATTGTAACTCAAAATTCTTGGACTTAATCCATGTGTAGTGCCACATGCCTGTAGCCTCAGCACATGGGAAACTGTGGCAGGAGGACTGCCATGAGTTTGAGACCAGTCTGGGCTATATAGAGAGTTCAAGGCCAGCACGAACCACATAAAGCCTGTCTCAAAAAGGAAAAGAAAAGTTCCTGGGCTTGATCAGTATTCTTAAACAACAGTGAAATCATATTCTAGTATTCAATCATTTTATACATGAGAAACTTCTCCCCAAAGTACTTGGTATATAGGAACTAAAACTGCAACAAGTGGGAGTGTAGCTCAGTGGGAGAGTGCATGCTTAGTCTATGTGAGATCCTTGGTTCAATCCCTACCATAAGAAGGGGGTACACAGAGAGAGGAAGGAAGCAGAGAGAGACTGAGAAAAAGTAAAAATAAGGAAAAAGAGGAGGGAGGGAGGAAGAAGGAGAGAACTAAATGTATTACAGTGTGAGAGGACTTAGGACAAGGATTCATGATCAAGTTTCATCTGAGTGCTAAGACTTGAAGGTAGAGGGCTAAGAGAGTCCGTGCTCTCCATGAGGGGGCAGGAAGATGGCAACGCAGGTACTGGCTATTCCTAACTCTGACTAAAGGCTATCAATAGATTTTTATAACCCTTAAGTATGGATTAGAGGTATTTATTGATATTATTTTTATTTTTTCTCTGCATTTCTTCTAGCTTCAAGATTATCTAGTAATGTTACATTTTTGAGTGATAAGAACCTTAATCTTCTTACACATGTCCCATGATTTTAAAAATTAAAGTTTTTCTAATCCTTCGTATACCATTATTAAATTGTACAAGCCTAATATTTAGTGCTAAGTAATATACAGACTTATTCAAGTACAAAACATATCTAGAAAATGCAGGGTTGTGGTGGCGCACACCGGGAATCCCAGCACTTAGGAGGCTGAGGCAGGAAGACGGCTGTGAGTCTTAGAGTAGCCTGGGCTTCATTGGGAGTCCTGGGCCAGTGTGAACTACATGTCAAGACTGTCTCAAAAAAGGAAAAATACCACATATCTAGAGAAAACATAAATGATGATCCAACAAAACTTCATTTTGCATTCAGTTCCTCCTTTCTATTCATGAACAAAACATACAGGATTGCTTCTCCATCAAAATCAAATAATCGCCATTTTTAAATGATTAAAGATCCCATGTAATAAATGTGCTAGGTTTAGATCTAAATTGTCCCCTAAAACCAGGCGTGGTGGCATACTCCTATAATCCCAGTGCTGGGGAGGCTGAGACAAGAGGATCACTACGAGTCTGGGCTGCGTAGTAAGAAACTGTATCCAATAAATAAATAAATAATTTTTTTAAAAAAATTAAAATAAAATGTTCTCCAAAAGTTTCCTGTGTTTGGAAGGTAACATCCACTGATGAGTTAAGTAGTTGAATGGGCTGTGTAGGTGGGGCCTGGTTAGAGGTGGGCCCCTGGGGTGTAACCTAGAAAAGTATATGGCTCTGTCATTCCCTGGTTCCTGCCCTGGCCCCTGCTCCAGCCCCTGCTTCCTGGCTGCTGCAGGTTAAGTAGCTTTCCTCCTCCCAGGCCCTTACTTCTTCAAGGCCGGCCCACCCTGGACTAATCCCCTGAGCCAAAGTAAACTTCTCCTCCTTCAAATTGTAGGTGCGTGGGGATTGAGTATTTCAGCCTAGTGCAGGAAAATGACAAATTCAAAATCCAAAGCGTTGAGGCAGGAGGATTGCTGTGAATTTCATTGCCAGCCTGGGCTACAAAGTGAGCATTAGGCCAGCCTAAACTACATGGTGAGACCCTAGCTCAAAAAACAAACAAATAAAACAAAATAACCCAAAGCTTAATACCAACAAGAACAAAGACAATAACTGAATAGAAAGAGGAAGGAAAATCCCACAACTGGGCAGGTTGAGGCAGGAAGATCACTGAGTTTGAGACCAGCCTGGGGCTACAAAAGTGAGTACCAGAACAGCACAGCAAGATGCTGTCTCAAAAAAAAAAAAAAAGAAAGAAAGATGAAAGATATCTTCTATGTCATGGTTTTCCAGCTACCTAACACAAAAGTGCCTTAAGGGTCCTGAAAATATTTTATTAAAAATTTTAGCTTAATATATTAGAAGTTTTAAATTTATTTTTAAAGCTCTAATTAAAAGCATGAAACACTAACAAGTATTATTTACCAAATTTTAACAACGTAAAGACTTCTAGTATGTGTACTTGAGCTAACTGTATTACTTATTTGTGCAAACTTTGGGCTAAAGCTTCTCTTGCCATGTTTATACAGAATTTGTGACATCTTAAAATATTTAACACTTAAGTTTTAGATACTTCCTATCTGAAAATATATTTTTAATTTTATAGGAATAACTATCATATACTTACCTTATGTTTTGTATAATTGTGTGGTAAATTTCTTTTAAAGATAAAAAGGTTTTTAAGATCCTGAAAGAAAAACTCGAAAACCAGCATTTGAGAGTAATTTAGTGTGTGAAACACTGAGGCTTATTAGGAGTAGGAGAACTAGAGGCTGAACTAATAAAGTCCAAGGCTTTTCTTATGACTGGCAGATTTTTTCATAGAAAGACTATAGAAATGCTATGGATACAAGTGTGGTACTAAAGATCTGATACCTGAAGTCAGAAGACATGGCTTCAAGTACTAGTCTCTCCATGTTTTATGTTTTGTTTTGTTTTTTTCTTTTTGGATGAATGAATTGAATTTTTTTTTTTTTTTTAAGTTTTGGTTTTTCCTATCACATGTTTGTAGTGCGCAATGTGGACATTCCTTGCACAGAGATAGTATGTGTACACACATCTAATTCTTTTTTCATCCCCTTCCCTCTCCACCCCTCCTCCTTCCATCTCTTGATTCTCTTCCCATGTGAGCAAATTCTATCTCCTTACTTTTTGTTTTTACTTTGCTCTCTATTTATATTTTGGATTTCTCATTAAAAAGAAACCATGTGATATTTAAGTTTGTGTGTTTGATTTGTTTCAGATCACCTGTTTTCCAATAAATGACTCAAGCTCACCCTTATTTATGGCAGAGTAGCACTCCACTGTGTTAAACACATTGGCCTCAAGATTCAATACCATGGGGCCTGCCCCTTAGTTCAGTTCTTTAAGTGGCTGCTTCAACAAAGCAGTCAGGCTCAGGTTGCTGTGGTTCGATCCCCAGAACTCAAGCCAGCCAAACCTGCCATGAAGGTATTCGGAGCAAAAAAAAAAAAAAAAGATTCAATACCAACATGGAAAAACCAGTTAGTCTGTGTTTTAGTTGCTTGTCCTAAAATAGATAAACATATCTCCCAGAGAATTTTGAAGTTTAATGAAATACTATGTAAAAATATTTTATAAACAATAAAAGAACTACATAATTATAAAACTTGGGGGAAGAAGGTTAGTAAAAGACTGTGGTAGGACTTGCTGACCAAACTGGAGCGACAAACTCTGACTTGCTATCATCATGAGCAACATATCACAGATCCTTCAGGTGTGAAAATGATTTTGTATCCTCAACCTTTTGTAATCTGACTGGAAAGATCAACCCCTTCCAGGCCTCTGATGCCACTCTCTTACATTTATGCCCACATCCTGTTGATATGTAGAAAGGACCTTCCATTCATTTCACTGTCACTGCTCTACACTGAAATACCCCTGCTCTCAGTTTTCTCAATGTTCCATTGATATACCCTACACATTAATGCCAGATCAATTATTCTTTTTTTTTTTTATTTTTTTTTATTTATTTGTGTGTGTGGCCAGCTCAGGCCCCCAGGGGGCGGGGCTGGCATGTGGTGCTGGGGGATTGAACCGTGGTCCCTTGTGCTTTAGCTAAGCTTGTTCTAAGTAGGTGCTTTAGACCACTGAGCCATCTCACCAGCCCCAGATCAATTATTCTTAAAAACTACATTTATTAAAGATGACTTGTCAGAGTGAAATCTGTTTAAGAGATTAAGATTAGATTGGATAACCTGAAAGGTAAAGCTGAGGGGTCTGTAGGTATTCAAAATCTGTTGCAAGGTTTTCAGTAATGAAGAATTGCTGTGAAAATTTTTATCAAAGGAAGATTAACTATGACACAGAATCTGACACTGAGTTATAAGTGTAGGTTTAGAGAAAGGCAAAGAAAGAAGAAACAGTCCCCTTGAGGCAAAGTAATCTCTGTTCCTGGTATTCGGTACAAGAGGAGACAATGTGGAATCTAGCAAGTCCACTTGCTTATAAAAGCACTCAATGCTTAAATGTCTCCTTTTGGGAAGAGTCGTAGCATTTTTACTATTTTAAATATTAAAGTGGTATTCAGGAACTTAATTTGAAAGAAGCATAGAAAGAATTAAATTCATGGACCAAGATACCACTTTATTTGCCTTTATACCAAATGGGACATATAGCTGCAAAATGTAACTATATCTAGTTTTTATATATCTTTAGTCTATACTGAGTCAAGAATATAAAATTTCTGGAGAAAAATACTGATTTTCTAATATTGTATAACATATAAAAACTTCCAATATGTGAATATTTGAATGAACTTTAGCGTCTCAACATTTACTAATAATGAATGAGCTAATAACATTTAGAAAAGTCAACTACTATGTTTAATACACTATATCTCACTTCTTATTTTCAAACAAAACATTTTAGGACCTATATTTGATATAAATTACATATTTTAGATAATTCCATGGCATTTGAAAATTTAGTATGTGTCCTAAAATGTCTCCTTTTTTTGTTTTTGTTTTGAAAGAGTCTGAGTGTATAGTTTAGGCTGGTCTTGAACTCACTATGTGGCCTGGGTCGGCCTTAAACTTATGGCAATCCTCTTGCCTCAGGCTCCTGAGTGCTAGGATTTGCTGGCTTATTACAATTCTTATAAAACTTGAAAATTATAATCAGATAAAGCTTTTACCTGAAAACGAAGAAAATTTTTGTATAATTCTTGCTGTTTAATCTGCAGTTCAGTTGGAGGGTCACCAAATATATTTCCCCGAGCAAAAGGAGAGCTCTGCGTTTGCACATGGCCTTGAAAAGACATTTAGCAAAAATACACTGTTAGGAAATGTTACGGTTAAAGAACAGCTTGCTAATAAACTGGTACTTTGAAAACCTGTGCTAAATACAAACATCCAGAGGTCAACATCAGAAGAGGAAGGTTGAAACTAGAATCTGAAGAGCAAATGAAAAATAGGAAGAAAAACAAAAGCCGTGTGATTAAAATGAATATTTGAAAATCATATTGTATCTATAACAGCTAAAAGACACGAACAAAATATAAAAGCTAAGAGCCTAAAAAATTATCTCACAGCAAAGTCTGTAAATTAGAATTTATAGAAAGAAAAAAGTATATTTAAAATTTTATGTATATGCTTAATAGTTCTCAGTCACATGTTAAGTATATTATGCAAATATATATATTTAAAATTTCAAAAGTTATATTTAGAACTCAGCAATTCCAAAATTCTTCCCAGCTATAGTTGAAATATAGCTTTTAAATTCAGGAATAAAACCATTTTTAAGACATTAGAATGAGTCTTAATTCTTATAATGGTTTTTATCTTCAAAACTTAAGTGGGATGTTAGTATTAATTTTTTAAAATTGTTACATGTTATCTATCAATAAGATTTTTATATTCTTGAAGGGAAAATTATTGCATAAAAGCAATTTGGAAAGCAATTATTCCCTAGGAGTCCCTTTTAACACAGGGAGAAAAAAAATGGCATTTAAATTTAAGCAACACATCACATTTTATATTATCTCTGAGTTGCTAATTGATCTTAATATCATCAATCTAAAGCATTATTTCCCATACTTGTGTCATAGTCAAACTACTTTGCAGTTTAGCTTTTATTCGGGTCTACTTTGTATTTGAATTTAAATTTATTAATGTTTATTTGTACAAATCAGAAAGTCAAATCAAGACTTAAATATCATGAATATTCATCTTCACTAGGAAATGGTCCTAATGAAAACTAAATATACAACTCAACGGTTCTTTTAACTCTTATTCACTGTTGGAAAAGCTGATTAGCAAAACCAAATTGAGTGATATCTTTCACCTTTTAAATCCTTAGAACAATTAAAGAAAATATATTAGAGGCAAACAAAATAAATCTTTTTAGAAATAACTTTAAAAATAAAGCCATGGGAGGACTAGGGACAAAGCTCAGCGGCACAAGTGCCTGCCTGGCAAGTGGAAGCTCCTTAGTTTGATTCTCAGCACAAAAATAAATAAATAAATAAAGCAAGCCATGGGAAAATATACGTTCTATACAAAGAAAATAGAAGTGTATCTAATCATAGTAAGGCTAAAAACAAATTTAAATCTGATCAGTACTAAACTTTACAAAGAGCAACTCAGGAAGCAACCGTAAGTAAAAGAAGAAAAAACCCACATAATACTATAAAGGTCCTCAAAAATAGGCCTAATGATGAAACATCAGAGGACAATGAACTTTAAGTGACATTACAACATTCAATTTTCAGAAACATCTGAACTCCATAAAAAAACATTTAAAAAACATTAACCTTTAAAAAACATTAAACATAGCCAGTCTTGGTGACACATACCTATAATCCCAGGCACTCCAAAGGCTGAAGCAAGAAGATGACAACTTCAAGGCTAGCCTGGACAAACTCAGTGATAGGCTGTCTCAAAAAGAACTTTAAGGCTGAGGAGATAGCTCGGTTGTCTAAGCATCTGCCTGGCAAGTGTAAGGATCTAGGTTAGATCCCAGTACCTCATGCCAGGTGGACCTGGCCACCAAAACTGGGAATGGTGACACACACCTATAATCCCAGCACTGGAGAGGCTGAGACAGGAGGATCACTATGAGTCTGAGATCTATACTGGACCCTGTACCAAATTAGTTAATTACTAAAAAAAAAAGAACTTTAAAAGGGGGTAGGAAGTGATTGGAATATAGTTCAGTGTAGAACCTTGCCTAGCATGCATGAGACCCTGAGTCAATTAATGAGTCTGAGATCTATACTGAGACCCTGTACCAAATTAGTTAATTAATTAAAAAAAAAAAGAACTTTAAAAGGGGGTAGGAAGTGATTGGAATATAGTTCAGTGTAGAACCTTGCCTAGCATGCATGAGACCCTGAGTCAATTAATTCCCAGTCCCACAATAAAGAAAGACAGAAAAATATGCATGTGTGCACACAAGTATATATAGAGATATAAAGAGCTATATAGACAGATACATACACATATATATAAATATAAAGACACAGCACAAATTATGCAGTTCTAGACAGTTTCTTGTATTTAGAAAGATTGTTTTATGCTAATTGCTAGGGAAATATTTAACATAAGAAATGTTAATTCACAAAAAATATTTTAAATATCTGGGTTTTTTAAAAAATATTTCTTAAAGCAGAACATTCTGGTAAACAGCAGAAGGACAAAAATCTGATGGCAGGACAGAAAAGATACCAATAAGTATTGCTGTGCACATGCTTATGTTCTTGGGAAGGAGTCATAGAAACTATTGATTCTCTAGTGTTTAAAAGTGCTATTACTATCTGTGACAAGTTCTGAGATATAACTACAAATAATAAGTTCTGAGATACAATAGCAAAGGCTGAGATATAATTACAAATAATAATGGCTATGAAAGAGATCCGAAGCAGCAAATGAGAAAGAGAAAAAAAATAATAATCAAAAAAGAAGCCAAAATTCTCTCTGCAGAAATAATATGAAAAGGTGTTTTGATACTCCTATTCCACAATGAATTACTGCATGTTAAGAGAGAAAAAAATAATTTCATCAAAGTCAAAGGTGCCGATTTTAGTGCTCCAAAAATCAGAAGTGAACCCAAAAGATAAACTGTAGATCAAAGAAAGGCCTACTTTTTTAAAATTAAGAGGCCAAAGAACAAAAAAGTTGCCTACATAAAAAAGTAAGCATTCCACTGCCTAAAGTAATTTAAAGGGCTGCAGCAATTAAAGCTCCCATCAAGGACTTGAAAAATACATAGCTAATTATCACTAACTACAGCTCCTTATTTAACCTGATTAGCCAGTAAGTCACATAGGCTAAAAAAATTTAAAAATTTAAAAACTGCATGATAGGTCCTGAATATATTAGAACTTTCTAATGTAAAGTTCTTTTTAAGATGACAATCAAAACTTCTACGAATGCACAAAAGCAGTTTTGTAGTAAATATTTTTATAAGCATCAGAATAAAATTTAAGGAGTATATTCTTTAACTTTGTTTTCACTTTTATTTATCTTTTTTCAATAATTCTGAGAAACAAATAGCAACGAGACAGTTTCAAATCCCATTAGGACAGTTTCAATAATTAATACATTGCATACTGTTGTCTTGGTGGTTATTCATTGTACAAGATGCAGACATGATATCCTGTCCACAAACAATATTAAAACAAATCTTTCTATTCATTGAATTAAGAGAATATAGCTGTGTATCTATCCTAACTATTTTGAATATACAGACACAAAATGGTCATTCATTTGTATTCCTTTTTGTTTAGTTTTGTCAGAGAAGGTATTCCATTGTCATTTAAATATTATAGCTGTGTGAATTCAGCAAAATATTCCAATATAGTCCAGTAGTCCATAATAGTAGTGGGTTTTCCGTAAGACTTGCAATGTTAGAAGTCTTTGACGTGAGCCTTTTACAGCTCAGCATATTAATATGACTTTACTTTTTATACTTCGTTTTTATACTTTTCTGTTGGATGGTTAATCTTGGTATTTTCACTTCTAAATACATCTTTTTATATGCTTCCTAAAGATAATCACAACTTTTTCCTTGCAGGTCATAAAAAATGATACTGAGTAATTTCAACTTGTAGAATCTTTGACCTAGGGATGCTATATAACAGTAAGTCAAGTGTATCTGGTTAAGAACAAGGGCTGGGATCAGATATTGAATTTTTAATTACTTGGCCTATTACAAAGATTAGGTTTTCAAAAGGAAGGATATGTGATCAGTAAAACAAGCAAACGATCTTCTCACAACTTAGCAGAACACACTTGATACTTAGACACTAATTCAACAAATCAGGAGTGCAAGAAATACATTGTATGTGTGTAAAACTGATTTTAACCAGCAAAATTAAGAAGCAGCAGATAAAGCAACCATAGCAAGTTACAAAGCTAAGAAGAAATACACAGTATTAAGAAGCAACCTTTCCCTGTTCAACTTTTTTCAAAATAACTATAAGGGAAATATATTTGCAATAACTTAAGTAACAGGCTAGCCTGTTAACTCAGAATAATCAAACTCTCAAAATCACAATAAGAACTCTGGAATGCTATCAAGGGACAAAAGAGATATGATACTGAACAACTTTAGAAATGTAAAAGAAAAAAAATAGAATGTGATTAAAAACCTGAGTTGTTATTTGCAGAATCCTCTAGGTTCTCAGCATTTGAAGTGGCTAAATTTTGGTCTACAGCTACAACAGCCCTTTTATCTTCATATGGTTTCGCATCTGGGTTATGGTAGGCATCTATATTTTGTTTGTGCATCCTATTCAAATCAGCTAAGAGGGAAAAATAAGCCATTTATTTTAATAAACACATTTGTATAATTTACTGATAATCTTAATATATTTTCTTAAAATAGAGAATAAGAAACACATATGACAAATGACATATGACAAATATGAGAATGCTTCAAGATGTCAGTGCCCTGAAAACAGATACAAAATTATCAAAACTTTGACATTTTCAAAAAATAATCTTACAAATAAACTCAAAATTAGTAGAGAAACTAAGGATATGCAAATCTTTGACATTCCATAAAGCCATACTTCAGAACTCAGAAATTTTTAAATACATACGGAGCAAACAACAATAATTCAGAACAAATTATAGCGAAATTTACCCAGAATCGTCAGCTCCCCTGATAACAACAAATAATTCACATGGAATATAGTTTTAAAATACATCCACAAATTCTTTGACAAGCCTCAAATGGTAGAACTCAATACTCTTCCCTTTAGTGTGGTCACAGATAGTAATTCACAACTTCTGACTAGGACACCGTGAAAGTCATGCTGCATGGTTCCAAGGCTAGTTCATAGATGACATGGCTTCCCTCTTGTGTGATCTACAGATCACTTGCTCCAAAGAAAGCTGAGTGTCATTTCAGAATAACACCAAAGGAGTCCTACGGCAAGAAACTGAGCCCTCCTGAGCCCCGCTGGGGAGTTATACAGGAAGGAAATAGATCATGAAGCCATCAATAAGCCTTCAGCTGTCTGCAGCCCTGGCTGATGAAATAACAAGTGAGACTCTAAGGCAAACTAACCAGCGAACTACTAACGAATAACTGACTCACAGAATTCAAAAATGGCAAATTTTTATTCAAAATACTAAGTTTTGAAGGTAGTTTACTATGCAGCAGTAGATATGTAAAACACAGGGCTGTGGAGACAACTCAGCAAACTAAGCACCTTCTTAGGCATGCGTAGGGAGTGGGGTTCAATCCCTGGCACATGTCGCACTGCTTAGCCCCTGGGCACACTAGGCCAGCACCCAAGACCAGGAGTTGTGGCACACGCCTGTAATCCCAGTGTTGGGGAGGCTGAGACAGGAGGATTACTATAAGCCTGAGCTGTATAGCAAGACCCTGGACCAAATAAGAGATTTAAAATTAAAAAAAAAAAAAAATACACATAGCAAAAGCCTGAGCACCACAACTGGTCCAAACAACCAATTTCAGAAACAGATTTGAACAGCTACAAAATTCAAAAGCTTTATTTAATGACACAAAGTAGCTCTTCTCTCCATCCCTACCTCCCCCTAAAACTGGGGCCATCTGGCAACAATGAAAGTGACCTTTAAGTCCATATATAAGAAGTATTTATCAGAAGCATGTCATATTCAAGGATGTATTTCAAACATGAATCACAATTAGAATACCAGAAAGATTATGGTAAATGAAATGCAAGTGCTACAAAAGAGAATGGAAGGGTCATCCAGATAGCTCAGTGGACTAAAGCGCCTGCTTAGGCAGAGAGCGGGGACTGTGCTGGCCCCGCCCCTCGGGCACGCTGAGATGGCAACAGAGACTAGGCGTGGTGGCACGTGCCTGTAATTCCAGCACTTGGGAGGCTGAAAACGGGAGAATCACCTACAAGTCTAGTCTACATAGTGAGACCCTGCAGACCCTGTATTCAATACAGAGAGAGAGAGAGAGAGAGAGAGAGAGAGAGAGAGAGAGAGAGAGAGAGAGAGAGAAGTTCGGGATCAAGAAAATTTACATCTTGCTATAACATTTAGAGTATCTTGGGCTTACAGAATGGATAGATTCTTAAAAGGCAAAGATGAATGAAAAAAAATGATAAAGAAATAGATAAGGTGAATAAATAAATATGGATAGTGTTTTGCTTATAGCTCAAAGTACATAAAAGAGTAAAGACAGATAAGAAACTATAGATCATATGCCTATTCTGAAATATCCTAAAATGCATAATAGTTCTCAGTTTTGTTCTGTAGATGGTAATGCTGAGTTTAAGAAGTTATTGAAGTACTATCAGTAATAATGGCAAGCTACAGTAAAAGTTCAGCATTTTATATACTACAAAATAACATACTGTTATTTTTACTCCTGTATCATATATAAGAAAAGTGAATTAAGTTAATTTGTTCAAAGACCAAAGTCAGTCAATGGCAGAGCAAAAATGTAAACTTGGGCAGTAAGATTTCAGCCCTCAATAATCTCTGAGTATGGAATAAACTGATTTTTGATATATGTTATGCTATATATATGGAGATCAAAGGAGGATAATGAAGTAGTTAAGAAGAAATGGTAACAACACAGGTAAGCAGAATGGATCTCAAGTACAGGGACAGTACAAATTAAAAAGTTTAAGAAACACTAAGGAGATGAACCTATAGATGGGGCTTTAATGACTGACCATAAATGGAAAGTCAAAAAGACTAAACTTTCAGTTTGATTGCTCAAACTCATGGTGCCATTAATGTGAAAAGCACATAAAAATGAGTTTGATTTTAAACATTGGCTCTGCAGTGCTAAGTATAAATAATCTACCAAGCATTAAGTGCAGAGATGCCAAATACAGGCTGGAAATAAAGTTTTATAAAGTAATAAGGCACAGTAGACAGATTTGAAGAGTACCTGTTGAGAAGGCCTGAAGTACTACAAGAGAGATGAGATGAGATGGGAGACAATGAGTATGTCTCTGACAAGATCGCATTCACAGACCAAGTCTAATCTAGTTTATGTGACCAATCAATGCTTACCAAAACAAGAATTTCAGAGCATGCACAGTACTTAACAGAAGGAAGAAACTGCTACACCAATTCGAAGAAGCTGTGACAGATTGACATTAGGACAACTACTTCGAAAAATGTAGCATTTCTAAGGGGTAAAAATAGAAGGCATATTATGGCTTAAGCAGTAAGGAGGAGGTAAGAAATGATAGCAAGAAACACAGACTTTTAACAATGTGTTTTATGTAATAAGGGAACCAGCATGATCAAGAGCACAGTACTTATTTGCTTGTATTTAAGAATAATATTAAAAAATAACAAAAGAATAAAAAAGACCTCAACATTCAGACAGAAGGGAAAAAATGAATGGAAAAACCTGTAAGAGTAAGGGACTAGGTGAAACCAGTCCCTTGATAGCAAGAAAATTCCAAAGTGCCAAGAACTGGCAGGCCAGGTATGTGTTCCTGAAATCATTATGAAATTCTGTCTCATACAGGAATATGGAAGGAAAATAAAAGCAGAGAGATGATGAACAAATTGAGATCACATGCTAAAGTTGTGGCTTAAGTCTAAATGTCTCCCCAAAGCCTGAGGCAGTCTTAGGTTGAGCTTTTCAGGGATGGCTGAATCTACAGTGCATGATCCTGGGATCAAAAATGAGTGATTACTAGATCAGTACACTGGCTCGGCACAGTTCTCAGTGTGAATAATAGGAAGGCTTACCCTGGTGTGTGTACCACCTCACTACGGGCATGTCGCTTAGACAGACTAGAAAGGACGGAAAAGGGGTTGCTGTGGTCACTTGCGCTTGCCACTCATTACCTGCTACTTTGCTGCTGTGCTGCCATCTGCCTACTATGAACTGCTTCTCCAGTGCAAGGCGCCTCTGCCACCCAGTTGCCCTGGAGCCAGCCACCTATGGCCTAAAACTGCTGCAAACTGTAAGCTGAAATAAGCCTCTCCTCCTTAACTGTGGGCGTCAGGTAATTTTGTCTCAGCAAAGACAGCTAATAACTGTTGTCCCTTCGAGAAATATAAAATGAAATAACTCAAATGGGAAATCAGTCATCCACTTCAATATAAGACTGGTCTATGTAAATAAGACATTAACTGTATTATTACACAGCATATTCTCTTTTCTTCTATTAGCAGACAGTGGTATATGGAGTTCACTGATTCCAGAATGATACCCAGAGCACTATTGCCAAACAAGTGAATGTTCTGGAAATGCTTATCTTACTTTAGTAGCACCTACAAAACTAAATAATAAGAAATAAATATCCTATAAGTAAACACTGTAATGAACTTCAAAGTCAGTAACACAATTTACTGTTGTGATTACACATAAGTCAATTAACATTTATGTATTTATATAAAAACTTTCACTGGAATACATAATTATTTATAATTTAAGAAATCAGATTTACCAACAAAATTCATATTGCTTTACACTGGGAAAAAAGTTTTGTTAGTCCCTCGCTCACTCTTTATCCATCTTTCTGTGAAGTGATAAAAGGTTTGAAATTAGCAAAAACAATAAAAGTATTTTGATCATAAGTGTAATTTGCCAATTCAAATCACAGGATTTTATGCTAAATATAAATCACTAACAATAAAATTGCTAGTATTACAAGAATAATTCTAACACAAACAGCACAACAGCAACAGAAAATGATTAATGAGTAGGAAAACAATTCTACTCCCAGAATAATTAATAGACTAGAGTTAACCTGTATAATCTTAACAGATAAGTAATATATAAACTAGGGAGAAAATGGAATAACAACATGATCTATCAGGCTGGCCCTAAATAAAAAGGTTTTAAAAAACCTTTTAGGCTAAAACTAAAGCACCTGTTTAGGCAAGCTTAGGCAAGTGCACCAGGACCGCAGCTCAATCCCTGGCACCACATGCCGTGCCAGCTCCGTCCCCAGGGTGGGCTGAGCTGGCCACACACACACACAAAAAAAAAAAAAAAACCCTGAAACATCACTACACTCTTTAAACAATAGCTACTATTTTAAAGATGCACAAATCCAAGAGCTAATGAGAATTCACAACAACTAGAAATTTAGTATTTTTCTAGTGTGAATAAAAAAAGCAAAATCAATTTGGAAAATGGCTAAGAAACTTCTTAACCAAGTTAAACGGCCCAGTGAGACCATTCCTGAGCATTCATTCAAGAAAAACAAGACACAGTCACTGTAGTACGTTGAGCTCTATAGCACTGGGGCAAGTGAGAGCGAGATGAGCACTGGGTGACTCTGTACCTCGCTGAGGAAAACGAGTAAACATGGGCAAAGGAGATCCTAAGAAGCCAAGAGGCAAGATGTCATCATATGCGTTCTTTGTGTAAACTTGCCGAGAGGAGCACAAGAAGCAGCACCAAGATGCTTCTATCAACTTCTCAGAGTTTTCTAAGAAGTGCTCAGAGAGGTGGGAGACCATGTCTGCTAAAGAAAAAGGAAAATTTGAAGATATGGCAGAGGTGGACAAGGGTCGTTATGAAAGAGAAATGAAAATTTATATTCCTCCTAAAGGAGAAACAAAAAAGAAGTTCAAGGCTCCCAATGCGCCCAAGAGGCCTCCTTCAGCCTGCTTCTTGTTCTGTTCTGATATCGCCCAAAAATCAAAGGAGAACATCCTGGCCTTTCCATTGGTGATGTTGCAAAGAAACCTGGAGAAATGTGGAATAGTACTGCAGCAGATGACAAGCAGCCATGTGAGAAGAAGGCTGCTAAGCGGAAGGAAAAGTATGAAAAGGACATCACTGCCTTCTGGGCTAAAGGAAAACCTGATGGAGCAAAAAAGTGAGTGGTGAAGGCTGAAAAAAGCAAGAAAAAGAGGGAAGAGAAGAACATTGAGGAAGATGAGCATGAAGAGGAGGAAGAAGAAGATGAAGTGGATGAGGAGGATGAAGAAGAGGCTAATGATGAATAAGCTGGTTCTAGTGCATTTTTTCTTGTCTATAAAGCATTTAGCCCCCTGTACACAACTCACTCCTTTTTTGAAGAAAAAAATTAAAATGTAAAGCTGTGTAAGATTTGTTTTTAAACTGTACAGTGTCATTTTTTTTTTGTACAGTTAACACACTACTGAATGTGTCTTTAGACAGCCCTGTCCTGGTGGTATTTCCAATAGCCACTAACCTTGCCTGGTTCAGTATGGGGGTTGGAAATTGGCGTGGAAATTTAAAGCACTTTCTTGTTGGTGCACAGCACAAATTAGTTATAAATGGGGACAGTAGTTTTTCATCTTCAGTTGTCTCTGATGCAGCTTATACGAAATAATTGTTGTTCTGTTAACTGAGTACCACTCTGGAATTCCAAAAAATAAAGTTGCAACTGTTCTTTTGACATTCTGAACACTTCAAAGTAAATACAATTTTTTTAATTAAAAAAAAAGAAAGAAAAACAAAAACCTAAGGGCTTTCTCACCACGGGCTATAGATGAAAGTTTATATTTTTACTTACAAAAGTTTACAATGGAAACAAACCAAATGTCCATCAATCAATAGTGTATAAATAATTGTGGTACCTCATAATGTAATACTAAGTAATCAAAAAAAAAATAGTGACATATCAAAAAATGGATGAATGTCATAAACACTATGCTAAAAGAAAAATGTCAGAATCAACAGGCAAGACTAGTGTACCAGAAACCAGATCAAACCCACGTTGGGGGCAACAGAAGATTGTGCAAAAAGACTATGAAGGGAAAAATGAAATTCCACAGAGCTGGAAATGTTCTCTGTCTTGATTGTGTTAGTAGTAGTTATTACAGGTTGTCAAAACTGATGAAATTTTGAATGTACATTTTATCCAATAAACAACACAAGAGCAAACAAATCTAACTGGGGTTAACACATAAACATTAACTAATATATGAAGAAATGTTTTAGCCAAGAATGGTGACACACACCTGCATTCTAAGATGCTGAGGCAGAAAAAGTACATATTCAACCCAGTTTTGGAAACTCAGAAATTTAGCCAGAACTTCTCTCAAAACTTAAAAAAAAAAAAAAAAAAAAAAAAAAAAAAGAAGGCTTGGGGATGTTGCTCAGTATGAAGGCCATGGATTTAATCCGTAATGTCATAAAAATAAAAGTTTAGTCATTCTACTAATCCATTATAATCAGAACTGAGAGATATTTTTGGACATCTTTTGAAGTGGCTCAGGTATTTTTTATTGTTTTTACTTTCATTGACTTTTTCCTGTCAGTGAATAGTAGTTTAAAATTTTAACTCATACATGGTTTCACATAACACCACTATTGTAAAGAAAGGAGAAGTTCCATCACCCCAAAACATTCCATCATGCTCTCTCTTTATAGTTATTTCCTTTCCCCACCCTTAATTCCTGAAAACACTGATTTGTTCCCCTTGTCTATAGTTCTAAATGTTATATAATGGAAACATCGATGTAGATAAGTAATCTTCAGAGAAAGGTTTCCTTTGTCTACTATAATTCCTGGGAGGACAGGGGAGATAGCTCAGTAGAGTAAGCGCTTGCCTGGCATTCATAAGGGCCTGAGTTCAATCTCTGGTTCTGCCAAAAAAAAAAAAAAAAAAAAAGAACTATAATTCCCGGGAGAGTCTTCCAAATTGTATGCATGAATAGTTCATTATTTCTTATTATATCCCACTATATGGATATACCAAAATTTGTTTATCCATTCAAGCACTGAAAGACTTTACAATACATATGTATTTATGGAAACTTAGTAAAGAACTAAGAAAAGACATACTTAAGAATGGTATTAATAAAGAGGTATTTACTTTAAAAGGGTTGATGCTATCTTTATAGTTATGAGAACAGCAGAGTTTGAAATTTCATTAATAACTTTTCCTTAAAAAGAAATCTTGACAAGCTAAGAGGAAAGACTGTTTAGTTTCTTTGGAATAAAGGATAAAAAATGAACAAGAAGAATAAACAGAAAAGCCAGCAGCAGAATTAAAGTAAGTCAAAAGAAAGTACAGAAAATATTTGTTCAAGGTCATCACATTGCCTTTTATTATACATTTGAAATATGATAATGCAAAAACGTTTTCCCTTTCTCTAAAATACCATCCCCCACACAAAGGAAACCAATACTGTTTATGTGATGCATTTATTTGCTTTGAATATACTATTTATAAAGATTACCATTATGTTTAGTAAAATAGTATGACTTTTCTATTTCATTGCATCCCTACAGTATTAAATAAGCCAAATACACATTACTATTAAAAATGGAAATCTCAGAGAAGTTTTCTCAGTTCTTGCTAGGTCAAGCATTACTAAAGCAACATTTCATAACTCACTAATCTACACTTTCCTTACTCATTTGTACAAGTAAAGAATTCTAAAATGGAGCATCAGTGCAAAAGCAAAGGTTTCAGATTCCTGAACTACATCTTGGAGAACCACCCAAACAGCATCAGAATGTGACACAGGTCAGAAGTAAACCTACACTGCCTTTAGCCTCTGAAAATTTGGGACATCTTCATTAACTGCCATTTAACTATTCATTAAATACTACTGCCATTGTACATTTCAGTAAAAGTATTCTGGATGAAATTGATGGCAATGTGCCTTTTATTGGAATTAATTTTTTTTAATTTAGAGCCAGGAAGATAGCTCAGTAGAATTTTTTTAATTTAAATAGTCACAGTATTATTCAATTACACATCATGTATCCTTAAAAATAAACATTTAACAAGAAATAAAAGCCATAAATATAAGAATATACAATTCAATACCTTTCAATCTTCTCATTCTGTCACTTATTTGGATAACAATATATAACATCTGAAGAATAACATGAAATCTACATTTTGACATTTCAATAGGTACTTTTCAATTATTCTTTCTCATTTTTAACATTTTCAAAAACCTATTATCTTTACTCTATTTTTATTCTGCTTAGCTACAACCTAGTCAGATCTTAATATATAAAACAAGTTTAAACCACCTTTCTCAAAGTTTGTGTTGTCTAATTACTAAATACATAATTGAAAAACAAATTTGCATAATTTCACAGTTGCCAGAAAATTCTGAGACCAAATCATTTTTCAAAGATCTTGCACTAAGCGGGTATATTCCATATACGAATTTTAAAAATGATTTTCCCCTACAACTATTCCAGAGTATTTGGTTTTTTGTTTTTTGTTTTTTGTTTTTTGTTTTTTTGCAGAACTGGGGATTGAACTCAGGCCCTTGCGCTTGCCAAGGAAGCGCTTATTCTACTGAGCCATCTCCCAAGTCCCCAGAGTAGTTGTTTTTTAGATATATTTCTAATCTAAAAAGTACATAACCTTGTAATATGAGTTTTATTAGTTAAAAATAAAATATTTGAAGTACTGATTAACTAAGATGAACTTTTCTCTGCAGTTAGGATTCTATCAGATGATGAAAAGTTTGTAATAAAGTCTTTTTAAATTCTAAAAAGTTAAATACTACTCTGAAGAAAAAAAGACTTTCTAACCATTTTTATATTTATTATAAATATTTTGTATTTGTTATAATATTTCTTTTGTGTTGAGCTACATTAAAAGAGACCTTACTTTACAGACTGTAATCCTCACCTCTTGCTACTCGCCACTCTTTTGTAAAGTTAATGAATAACTTAGTTTAAGAAAAAGTCCCTAGAAATGGCATACTTATCAAGTTTCCTTCTGCATCTCTCAAAGGAGCGCCTCCTCCACTTTTTCCCCAGGGGTTGTAAATTTTCATCTCAGCTTCCAGTTTAGCTTCATATTTTTCTTTTTCTTCACGTTCTTTCTTCCTTCTTTCTTCTCTTTCCCGGATCTTGACAACATAAGATATGTTAAGTAAGCGCTGACAAGAATGCTAGCAAAGAAGCTGGTGATAACAGATGGTATTTCATTTTTCTGATTAAGAAAAATAACTGGAGGTAGTTTTTGGTATATTTCACTCTGCAGTATAACACAAATATAAATAATATTCAAAAGCACCTAAATGGCTCTAGCTACTGTTCCCCTAGAGCATGCCACCAGAGGCCTTTCCAGCCAGAAAAGCCATCTGAGACTCAGCCAACTCCATCCCTTCCCCTACTTCTGCTAGAGCCCTTCTCTCCTTAACCTCACCAGTTTAACAGAAAACATTAGGGCTTTGCTCCTTTACCATCTGCCCTTTCAGTATAACTTCCCAACCACAAAGTTTACTGCCGACTTCACCAGACCTACTCAACCTGGCCAAAGTAACAGAATCAGAATTCAAAGAAACTAAATGTTGAAAACTACTGGGATAGTGCTAGGCTACTTTAAGTACAGCTTTATGAAAACACCAAAAAGAAGTATTGTTTTACTATCACCAAGTGCAATCACAGGCTTCTTCTCCAGAGACATATGGAGAGGCAGTTAACAAGAATCTACATTTCATAAGATCACTTTTAAACTCAAAAACATAGGCATAGTAAATTTAGTTATTCTTTTACTCTAGCTCAAGCCAGTAAACACATAAGATGACTTCTAGGGTTGAGAAATCTAGCTTTGTTAGTAACGTTCTTAACATGCTCACTCAAAACCTGAATTCAGAATTAGAAGACTCCTAACATACATAAAATAATGATAGTGATTTTATAATTTTAAAGAACATTCTTCCAGGTTTCTTTTCCCAAGTAAACATAAGATAAAAGTTCACTAAGAAGAAACTGAAGTAAGGGCCAGGGAGATGGCTCAGTGGAATAATCACTTCCCTGGCAAGTGCAAGGACCTGAGTTCAATCCCTGGTTCCTAAAAAAAAAGAGAAAAAAAAAAAAAGAAGAAGAAGAAACTGAAGTATTATGTAAAAACAAAAAACAAAGCAAAACAAAACAAAAAAAACCCTCAATTTAGATATATATCCATAGCAAGAGACCCAGGGTCCTCTCAGAGGTAATAGAATTGCCCCAAAATAGTCATATCTTTAATAGTTACTCTTAAGTAAATTCTCTTGGAACATTACAAATTACAAAAGAACCCATTATCCTCTTCCTTAAACATGCTCTGCTACATGTACTCCCTATTTTGGTTTATGGAGTCAATATTCTCCCAGATTAGAGCACTCAAAAACATCAGTAAGCCCTCTGTTTTTTCTCATTTTCTATACCCACATCCTGTTAATAAAACCTCAGAATTATCTCTTCAGTGTCCTCCCTACTTCTCCATCTAGCCCACGGACCTGCCTCCTCCTGGCTGAGTACTTCAACAGTTTACTAAGAAATCTCTCTGCTACATCTCTTTCCCAATTATCCACTCCATACCCAGCACCTTCTCCAAAACCAAGCTGCTCCATCAACTGATCCTTTCTCTTTGGGTCTAAAACTCTTTTCATTTAGCAGCCTATAAAAGGATTGACATTGAAAGCCCGTTTCACAATACAGCACAACCTAACTTTCCAGCTCTTTCTCCCAAACCATTCCATGAATATACAACAATATCTAACCTATTTGTCATACAATATGTTATCTCAAATATCAGTTACAGAAAGTCCTGAGTTCAGTCCCTGGTACCAAAAACAAAACCAAACAAAAAGTCACAGATCAAATATCAGTTACCATGTAAACCTTCCCAGTTGCCCAAGCAATTACTCTCCCTATACTATTCTTCCAACAGCAGTCCAGTGCAACCAAATCAAATCTAACGGTGTTGAATTACAGTTAACTAGCATTTTTCCTTCCCTGCCACACTGAGTTCTAAAGGACCACTGTGCAAGCAAGTAAGATTTCAATGTTCGATGAATGAGTGAATACCTGCTGCTGCAAAGCCTCTTGGTAAGACTGAAGTGATTCCTTGGAAGGCTTTGGTTTATCTTCAAAGATCAGCCCTGAATTTACCACTGGATCACTTGCAATTTTCAGTTCATTCTGTCCAACTGTATTCCTAATCAAATAAATAATTTGAACGGAAAGTAGTCAAGAATAAGAAAGTGCAACAGTCACTTGAAATCGCATGGCACATAAAAATACCTTAAAACAGAAAATGAGACACGCATGGTAGTACATACATGTTGTTACAGTTTGTATCTAGTTGTCCCCAAAAGCCTCATGCAGTCATTGGGACAGCTTCTAGAGCTTGTGATTCATTCATGATCCAATGTGGGGATTATGGGTGTGAGTGCTACCCCCATACTGGGGTGGGTAATCTGCATATATAAGGAACAGAGAGAGGCTTGCTACCTGCCACAGCTGCTGCTCCTCCCTTTGCTCTTTGTTGTTTCCCATCACCATGAATAGCTGCCCTCTGCCATGTGCCGCTCTGCCTTGGAACCAGCTGACTATGGACTGAAACCTCCACTATGACCTAAACAAATCTTTCTTTCCTTAATTCCAGGCGTTGGGTATTTTGTCCCAGCAACAGAAGAAAAATAACTGAGACACATGTAATCATAGCTACTCATGAGACTGAGGCATGGGAATCACATTTAAGAGGGCAGCCCAGGCAATTTCACAAGATCCTGCCTCAAATTTTATTTGTTTCTTTGTTCATTTGAGTACTGGAGAATGAGCCCAGGGCCTTCACACTGAGCTACATTCTTAGATCTTTTTAAATTTATTTGGAAATGGTCTCATTGCCCAGGCTGGACTGGTAATCCTCTCAGGGCCCCACCTTTCCCAGAGTGCTGGGATTACAGGTTGTGGCACCAGGCACAGCTCGAACATTATGGGGGGAGGGGGTGTGAGGGATGGTACCAAAGATGTAACTGAGCAGTAGAGCTTTGGCTTAGCATGTGCAAGACCCTGCTTTCGATCCTCAGTACCACAAATAAATGGGAGGTGGGGGGAGATTCTTCTCTTTAAGTCAAAGAGGAATACTTAAGCAAGTAACTCCTTCATAAACTCTCCCCCTCTTGCCTCTGCTTTGACAATCCATGGACTTTTCAAATTTATTGGGTTTATTTCTTGACCAAGGTTGCAGTTACATGGGAATGAAAGTATCTTGTAGTAATGCACCAAGCAGTACATATATGATTTAATCATTTTTTAAACAGAAAAATAAACTTTCAAAACAAGATAATACAGTAACTGGTAAATACACTGCACATTGTTATCTTTAAATCTGTTACTCAGAATACAGTACAGACATCACCATTTAATTGTCCAAACAATATTAACACAAACCTTTCTTTTCAATGAACTAAGAGAAATTAGTAGTATTAACTATCTTATCACATATATATTTTTTCCTTTCCCCTTCCTTTTCTCTATTCCTCCATCCCAGTTTCTCTTTCCTTTTGAAATTTCCTCCCACTTTATAATATTTTCTGTACAATCTTCTTCTCTCAGCTCCTCACACCAGGGAGACAATATAATGTTTGCACTTGTGCATTTGGTTGGTCTGACTTATGGCTATGGTCTCAGGTTGCATCCATTTACCTATGAAAGTCTCCAGTTTATCCTTTTTTATGGGTGAGTAGTCCTCCATTGTGCAAAACTGCCACATCTTTTTTATTTATCCCTTGGTTGTTGGGCATTTGGGTTGTTTCCAAGATCTAGATATTACAAACTGTGCTCTTACAAACATGGGTATGAAGTTTTTAATTTTTCTGAGAAGACACTCAGAATGGGAACAGATGGGTCAAATGAGACCCAGTTTTTTGAGGAATCACCACACGGATTTCTACACTGGTTGCACAGTCTATACTCCCCAGCAGTGGAGCTGGGTTCCTTTTTCCCCACAGAACCACTAGCATTTCTCGCTGGATGATTTCCTGGTAGGTGAGATGGAATCTCAGTGTTGCTTTAATTTGTATTTCTCGGATGACCAGTGTAGTGATGTTGGACATTTTTTCATGTATTTACTTGCCATCTGTATTTCTTCATCTGAGAAGCGCATATTCATCTCAGATGCCCATTTTTAGCCTAGGTCTTTAAACGTGGGAGCTCTGATTCTTTTTAGTTCCTTATTTGTTCTCAATGATAATCTTGTGTCTGAGGAATAGCTGACAAACATTTTTCCCACACTGTCTCTTCACTCTGGTGTTAGTGATTTCTCTTGCCATGCAAAAGCTTTTTATTAAGGCGAGATCCCAGTTGTTGATTCTTTGTGACAGTTCCTTTGTGATTTGGGTTTTATTCATAAAGTCTTTGCCTCCATCAATGTCTTCAATAGCTTTACCTATTCTATCTTCCAGCAGTTTAATGTTTCTGTTTTAATACTTAGATATTTGATCTATTTTGAATTTGATTAGTGCATGGTGAAACATATGTTTCCAATTCTAATCTTCAACATATTAAGCACTTTTTTGAACAAACTGAAATAAAAAACCTGCTTGAAGTCCCTCAAGTAACATCACATTAATGACTTAATGAATAATTTACTTAATAAAATTTCTATTTCAAATCTAAAACAATTACAGTAAAGTCTGTTTCAAATAAAAGCTTTCTCATCTCTAAAAATAGCATCACTTAATGAGTTTCCTTTCTATTTTTAACATATTCAACTTATTAATAATCTTTCATTAGGATGAACAAGTATATTTGTGTTTTACTGTCACACTGCAGTCAGAACAAATACTTCCCAACAGACCTTGTACTTCATCAGACCAAATATTCTGGCTATAAATTACATGGTAAAGAGATCCTCTCAGTATCTATTTTACTCATTATTCTTCCTATCTTCCAACCTATACTATGGGCCCATATTGTTTGTATTTAGATGTGGGTAATAAAAGGGGAGGGGTGTATACAGTTCAGTGATTTTCAGCAAATTTATAGAGTTCTGCAACCACTAGCACAATCTAGTTTTAGAACATTTCCATAATCCAAAAACATCCCTTATACCTATAATCTCTGCTTTATCCCTGCCCCAAGCAATCACTAAGTAGCATGATTTCTGTCTCTATATTCATATAAACAGAACCACACAATATATATGGATTCCTTCATGTAGCATAGTATTTTTTAGATTGACTCATGTTCTATTAGTCAATGTTTTCTACTGCTGAATATTAATTACTTCATGCAAGGATATAAAGTATCTTGTTAGGGCCAGCCAAATAGCTCAGTGGATTAAAGCACCTGCAAGTAGGCACAGGGCCCCAGGGTTCAACCCCTGGGCCTGCAATGTTGGCTGCGCCCCCAGGGTACACTGAGACAGCGATTAAGACTAGGCATGGTGGCATGCACCTGTAATCCCAGCTCTTGGGAGGCTGTAAACAGGTGGATCACTACATGTCGGATCTAGTAGTGAGACCCTGAACACTGTAAATATACAAAAAATATACAAAAAATAAAAAATATACAAAAAAATAAAATACACAAAATATACAAAAAATATACAAAATATTGTAAATTTCCCTAAGTATACAAAAAATATACAAATATATAAAAAAATCTTGTTTATCCATTCACAAATTGATGGACTTGTGAATCATTTCTATTTTTTCACCGCTATGAATAATGCTATTGTTACCAGGTTCTGACTCTGGGGCTGCTTTCTAGGGATGTTTTCTATGTTCTTTCTATCCTGAACAAAGACATGGTCAAGCCAAGTTCAAAAGATAGTGAGATTTTACATTTATTAAAGATAAAAAAAAAGGCAATGATATTAAACAAAACACTTATAAAAATTTGAAATTTCTGTGTATTAATATCAAGAGAGTAAAACAGCAACTCAAAGACTGGAGAAAATATTTACAAATCATTTATCTAACACAGTACTCACACCTAGAATACATAATAAAAAGCTACAATAAAAATTGACAGCTGAGTATGGTGGTGCACACCTGTAATTCCAGCACTTGGGAGGCTGAGGCAAAAGGACTGCTACAAATTCAAGGCCATCCTGAGCTACATAGTGAGATCCTACCTCAAAAAAACAATAAATAAACAACATAAAAGTTGTCAAATGAGTTGAATAAACATTTGCAAGGAAATAGGCAAACATCTAGCTAGCACATGAAAAGATTCTGAATATCACTAATCACCAGGAAAACACAAAACTACAAGGAAATACCACCTCATGCCCTTCACAGCTAGAACTAAAAAACAGGAAATAAGTTTCAGCAAGTATGTAAAGCAATTGGAATCCCTGTGCCCTGCTGCTGAAAATACAAAATGGTACAGCCAAAGTGGAAAACTGTATGGAAGTTCCTCAAAAATAATTTTGAAGATACTGAGCATAGTAGCACATGCCTGTAATCCCAACAACTTAGGAAGCTGAAGCTGAGGCAGGATGCTCACAAATTCAAGGCCAGCATCAGAAGCTTAGCAAGAACCTGTCTTAAATTTTAAAAAATAGAAAGGGATGGGCACATAGCTCAGTGGTCCCCATTTCAATCTTTGAAGGGAAGGGAGGATGCAGGATTATTATATGGCCACTAATTTCATTTCTAAGTATAGTTTATACTCAAAAGAACTGTAAACAGGTCTTGAAAAGAGATGTATACATTCATGCTAATAACATTATTCACAATAATTAAAGCATGGAAGCAAAAAAAAGGGAGCAACCCTCATGTTTATTAATGCATGAATGAATAAGTAGAACTTCTGGCATATACAATGAACTATTAGTCAGGAAATGTGACATGTGCTATAGATGAAAATTAGGAGGCTGGGGAGATAGCTCAGCAGTCTAAGCACCTGTCTGGCAAGCACAAGGACCCAGGTTCGATCCCCACTGCATGTCATGCCAGCCCCTGGAACCCCTGGCGTGCAGTGCTGGCCACTGAAACCAGGTGTAGTGGTACATGTCTATAATATCAGCACTGGGGAGGCTGAAACAAGAAGCTCACTACAAGTCCAAGCTGTGTAGTGAGACCTCGCAGCAAATAGACAAACACATGATTTTTTAAAATTAAGAACATTACACAAAGTAAAATAAGGCAGTTAGAAAAAGAAACACTGTATGACTCTTCATATGAGGTATTTAAAGTACTTGAAATCAGAGACATAACAGAATGGTAGTTGCCACAGTAATAATGAGGTAGGGACTCATTATGTTATGAGTACCAAGTTTCAGTTTCTAAGATGAAAGGGTTCTAAAGATATTTGCATAATGAATGTATTAAAATGTATTAAAATAGAAAATGTATATTATATACACTTTAACATAATAAAAAAAATTGGGGAAAAAGAGAATTAAGAAATTATTCTTTCAAATAATGACTTACACAATAGGTTGTGCTAGTTGGTGGGTGGCAGGAGCACTAACGTAAGCTGCAGGCTGCATTCCAGTTATTCCTGAACCATCTTAAAAGGAAAAAAAACCAAAAACAAAAACATTATTTTGGAGTACGCATTTAACAGTATTCTATCCCTAAAGGAAAAAAAACACATAATGAAAATGCTATCTAAGGAAAAGTTAAATATTTCGTTCTGGGTTAGCAGTTGGCATAGAACAACACAAAAGGCTATTTCTTAAATCTAGATAAAAGGGGCTGGGGAGATAGCTCAGTTGAATAAGTGCAAGAGGGCCTGAGTTCAATTCCTGGGTCCATGAAGAAAAAAAAAAAAAAAAGATTCAGGTTCTTAAATCTAGATAAAAAGAAAATAACTATCAAATATAAAGGGTTTTTAAAATAGGTAATGTTGTTTTGTTCCCTAGAATTCATGTAGGCATTTAACTGCCAAATTCTTGCATTAATATATTTGAGAGTAAAAAAATTAATGTGACTACGTTGTTTAGGGGTGTGACCCTAGAAAGTGATTTTTTTTAAGAGAATACAAATACAATAAAAAAATAAAATTAGAAACAATAAAAAATTTCACTTAACAAAGTGACAGGAATTCAGCAATGATTATTACATTCCATATTATTATCTTCAAAATTAGTTGTTCAGATTACCAGATATAACCATGAAAAACAGGTCAAAAGAAATTAAAAAGAAAAAAAAAAATTAAGTATCAACTGTTTTTTCAATAGACTAATAGAAATTCACAATACAATTATCCAAGCTTTCCTGTGTATAAACATGTTTCCCTTCCTTCTTTCTTAAGAAATGGTTAGGCTACACTACATTAGATTGGGGCACAGCCCCACAACTGAATTCTGGTAGTTTTATAAAAAGAAGAAGAGACACTACACAAAGACATACACCTACCATTATGTGTTGTGAGATATGTGTGTGACAGGGGTGTCTTTACCAGAAACTAGACATACTTTACAGACTTCAGTCTCCAAAACTATAAGTCAAGATAACCTCTTTGCTTACAAAGTGGTCTGCTTTTAATTATTTCATGATAGTAACAAAAATGGACTGATACAGGTATGGACTGTATCAATCAACAACTACACTCAAATTAAGCAAAGCTATTTTTTTATTTATATTCTTTTGCTTATACAAAAAAAAATTTTAAAAATCAAGTCACTGGAAAAAGATACATATAAACCACTTACAATAGGCAAGATTGGGATCCAAAGGATTTCTGGCACCATAAAAATAGTAAGCATCATCATAAGGCGTTCGATAGTTAGTAGCCAAAGGTGGTAATAGGGGCGGTGGAGGCAGAGGTGCAATTCTATATCAAAAGAAAAATAGGAAATTCTTCACATATTGAATGGCAAATTTTAATCAAAATTTTATTCTTTTACACTATATTCCTTAAATACTAATCACAAATTTAGAAAAAGCCACAACCTTGTTTTAAACATTCAAGAGAAATTACAAATCAAACACCAAATAATATAGAATTATAATATACAATATTATGATGTCAAGTACAACGCTTATGTGAGACACAGGTTAACACCCACGCAAGTAATATCCAATAGTCACTATGTGCCCATACAAAACAAGAAACAGATACTGTTCCTATTCCTCAGGAACAGAAATATACCAATTACAACCACATATGGTACATAAAACAAGACACAGGGTGCAACAGGAATTCAGAGCAGAAATCCTTAAACCTCACAAGAAAGAAATAACAGAAGACATTCCGGCAGAGGCAATGCATGTACAAGTTATTAGAATGACTTACTATAAACAGAGGCGGGACAGTTAAGAAAGAGAAGGCAGAATACAAACCCACATGAGTGTAAATGATTCAATTTGAAGAAAAGAATTTTTAATCTGTAAACTAATGTTCTGTCACAGGAAATCAACCATAATGTAAAATAAAAATTACTTAAATATCAATTGTTAAGTCTTAACATAATCTTTAGTATCTCAAACTGAAAAAACCTCTAATTCATTGCTCATTAGAAAATAGCTCTGTATTTCCAACATTGGAGTACTTTCTAATACTAAAAATGGAAAATGCAAATTCCAAGATAAACAAAAAAAAAGAGAGTATTTTAGAATATTTTCACTCTTAATTATATCTTAACACTTTCCCTTGCCATACTTTAAAGTGTTTGTGAAGAACTAAGAAGGTATTACAGTTCTCTTCAGTAGTGAATGCTTACTAATTACTATGCATTCAATGTGTCTATCCTATCATCACTTCAAAGATACAGCAGCAAAGAAGTTATAAAAAGGACTAATTGTCATCAACTTATAAATTGCATAGATTTGTAAGACTTAATACAACCCTGTAACAAGAAAAGAAACTGTACTGTTCAACACTTTTATAAATCAAAAAATTGAAGTTCAACAATAGATTGCCTAAATTCCATATACTAAAGTAAATCACTTCGATCTCTTATCAGAAGCTAAAACTACCATATAATTCTAATCCTACTCAGTCTGTTAATTATGGAAGCCATTAGAGAAAAAGCACTTGATAGAGTAAACATGGCCCTACAATTTATTAGTGGTAAATAAAATACCAAAGTTATTGAAAAATGAAAGGATATTATAGAAATATTAATGTTTTAAAAAGTTAAGAAAAATATCAACAGATTTAAATCCATTCATACAATTATCAAAAGTAACTAAACAATAAATACGTCTTACAGAAAATATTACCAGGATTTCCTCTAAATATAGTCTCAAATAGCATGATATCTTCTATCTATAGCAATCAAATTTTTATTCTAATATATAGGTTACAAGTTTTATTATTTTAATACTTTTTATTTCAGGCATTTGAGTTATATACCCCCTGAGTAATCACAAAGAAAGGATTTAAGAAAATAAAAGCTAAAATAAAATCATATTTATATATCATATTAGAAACTTTTTCTGCATAAATTGAAGGACAAATTCAATGTTTGCCAAGTGGAAATAACAAAATGGAGAATAATGTATAGATTTCATTTGTTAAAAGATTTTAAAAATAACTAAATATGATCTAAAATCCAATACTGAAATGTATTTAGTGATTTATTCTAAAAATAAAAATCATTAAACAATTTCCTTGTATTCACAATAGCAGGAAAAAAACTAACAAAATAAATGTTAAAGTATTTGGCAAAGCTATTAATTAGACAAAATATCTCAAGGATAATGTCACCTTCTTCAGTTTATCCTTCTAAACATCAACTTAGTAATACGTTACCTCATTCCCAAACACAAAATATTTTAAGCAAGCACCTGGGAGGCACCAGTTCACCAAGGGTGCTGTTGAGTCCATTGTGCAAATCTTCATTTTGAGAAGGGGCGGAGTGAATTGATGGAATGGGTGGGGCAGAAGGAGCAGATAAAGGAGGGAGAGGAGTCTGGAAAGCTACTCTGGGTCTTTCAGGTGGTGTCATCTCTCCAAAGTGTCTTGGTGTCACACTAAACTGCTTTAGTCTATCAGGCTAAAATAAAGAAAAATTGTTACATAGAATCACAAACTTAAAAGGTGGAAGGGGCCTCAAAAGACCCTCTCTACCAGCAGGCACTTAAAACTGACATAGAGTAAGACTTTTACAGCTATAAAAGACCTTACTAATCTAATTCTTATTATATAAATGGATAACTGAGGCTTTCTGAATCACCTCAGGCCTTACCTTTAATGATCAATAGTGAGAACTAGGAATTCATTTTATATAAACCAGTCTATTATAACACAATACTGTGCTACTTCTCTACCTATTGCCATTTTTCCTGATATCAAAATATTCTGCAGAACACCATCACAAACATTTTGTGTGAAGGGCACACAGTAAATATGCTAGGCTTTGCAATCTCTTCACAACTGCCCCACTCCACTATAGGGCTGGCAGTCACAGTGTATAAAGAATGAGGGAGGCTGTGCTTCAATAAAACTTTGTTTACAAAGCAAGTAGCAACTGGGTTTAGCCATGGTCCACAGCCTGCTAATGGCTATTAAAAAACATTTATATATCCTTATCTAAGATCTGACATCAAAATTAAATTCAAAAGTAATGTTTAACTATTATCTCTGAAAAAAAACATTAAATATGTAAACACCTATCATCTCTGATATTTATTCTCATAAATCTACTTGACACTCCTTAGGGGTTTCAAGTCAAGTATCAGACACTTTAAAATTTAACATGCCAATACATTATATTAAAAAGCTCAAGTTGATAAAATAAAGGGGTATTTTTTTCAGTGGAACCAAGGATGAACCCAGGAACTGTGCAATAAGCTACATCTCCATCTGTTTTTTGTTTTTTGGGTTTTTTTCAGGCAGGATCCCACTAAATTGCCCATGCTGGGCTTGAACCTGTGATCCTCCAGACTCATCCTCCCAGAGAGCTGGGGTTACAGGCATGGGCTACTACACCTGGAGAAAGGAGGGGAATTTTGAATGCAAAAGTTATACAAAGTATTTATTTTAGAAGAAAATATATTTAACTTATGAGCTTATCTGGATTTTTCTGTCAGATGACCTTATCTGGAATGATTTTTCAAATTAATCTAAGTTTTAATATATGAACAATCAGAGGTACATGGGAGAGATACAGGTACAGTATTAAACTTTTTCTTTTTTATGATGGGGATTGAACCTAGGGCCTCATGCTTACTAAACTTACTCTACCACTGAGCTTTAGCTCTAGTCTTGCTATTAGCTTTTTAAAAACAAGTAAATCAAAAGCATATATTTAGTATAGGTAGAAGTAAATCAAAAGTAGCCTGCAGCTAACAATTTAAATTCAAATAATCTTCATATTAAGAATTTATGTTATCCTTATGAAAAAGAGAACTTTTTAAGAAAATTAAGTCTTAATCATCATTTAAAGATGAAATAAAAATTTGTCTTAGGAAATAAATACCATATATCAAACTATTTAAAAAGTACTTTTAGTAAGAGCAATAAATTATTACCCCTTCTTTAACTACAGCAATGTAGTTCATTTCACTTATGATCAGAATTACAAAATTAAAGGGAAAATATTGTTCTAGTTTTACATTAGGTAACAATAACTAAAAAACTTAAAGAAAAAAATAAATAAATAAAAATAAAAAACTTAAAGACTAGAATTAAAATTTCTTTGGAAAAGGCATATTCGAAATTGACATCAATTATAAATTAAGCAGACAGATTTCCTTTGAAATAGTACATTTAAACAAAATAAAGGAATAATTTAAAACAAACTAAAAAATGACATGCAAATGAAAAAAGAAAAACTAAACAAACAACAGGTGAGAGTTAAGATTTACATTTTATAAGAACTGAATTTATTTTATTATTGTTCAAGCTGATCTGCTCTTCACAGTCTCCCAGTAAATATCTATCCCTACATTTGGGGACATAGGGATAATAAAATGAATGATTAATCAGAAGTGCCAGGAACCCCTACCGATTTCTCAGGGTCTTGTACTCCAGAAGCTGCAACTCTGAGCTCTAAGTCTTTTTCTCTAAACAAAATTAAAGTTTTATATATTAAAAAGTTACAGCAAACACTGTTAAAATCATAACTATCATTGAAACATACTTGAACATAAAATCTATGCAACACATCTCCAAATAGAAATAACTTATTTAACCAACAATAAAACCTTAAATAATACCAAAAATGGAATTTTCTAACTTGATACAGAGTAAAGCAGAATTTATATCTAACTGACTTAGAATGATTATCTTAAAGCCAGTCCATGGGATACTTCAAATACAAAGTAGTCCACACAAAATACTATCAAAAAACAAAAACTATGAAACAAATCTCTCATAGCACACTGCTATATTTTCAGTTCACACAAAGAAGAGTAAAACTTTAAAACTACCATGCTTTCTGCTAAGAACTTTAAACAAAATGATGTTAAAAGATGGCTAGTAGCAGAGAGTGGTTATTAGCTTCCTCCTACATGGAAGGAAAGTAAAAGACATCTCAAATTCTCTAAAATTAAGGCTTCCACTCCTAATTATAAACTATAGCAAGTGTTACAAGATACTTCCACGATAAAGATTATAAATACTGAAACTCATATACAACGCAAAAGGCTGTGATTTACCATGTGATTATCTATACTGTATTTATGTATGTTTGAGATTTTCAAAACATAAAATAATTTGTTACTATGTAAGAGATAGCCAATAGGAACACAAATACCATAAAATGTTACTCAAAAAAAACTAAGCAAGTTAATGAAAGGAGTAAGCTTATTGTATAATACATATGTAGTTTGATTTGTTCTGATAAAGAAATTAACATTTTCATAATATTCATTTTCCTTACTGATTTACAATGTACTAATGGTATATTAATGATTTAAAAATCAAAAATTATATTAGAAAAACAGTCCCTTATTTTACAGTCAAGACATTTATATAAGCACACTTTAAATTCAAAACACCTGTATTAAATGCAAACCTTTCATTACCGTCTCTTATTCTTCTGTTGTTCAGCCATTTGTTCCAATAATTCTAGTCTATATTTTTCTTTCCTTCTCTGAATAAGTTCTCGATCTTCACCTCCTAGAGATTAAGAAAAAAATCTAGTCTTAACTGTCATGCATCATATCAAACACAAACAAAAAATTCATTTTCTTATTACACCAAAGAATACTGAACATACAAGGACAGGAGCAAACTAAATGTATTTCTTAATTTATGAATTTGCTTCATGAATCAAATACAGAATACATTAATAACTCCCAACCCTCCACCTTTGTCAAACCTTCTAATCTCTGTCATTATTCTGCCAACGACACAGTGAATTTCTCCACTTGATCTTTTTCCATAAGCCCCTAACTCCAAGAGGTTCTATTCAAATCATTCCAAACCAGCTATCCCTCTTGGCTTTCTGCTAGTGACTCTGCAAATGGGGGCACAGTATCTCACTGTCACTTGGACGTTCATCCTCTTGTACTCAATTCAAACGAGGCCCCTTCTTTTCTATTCTGAGGGCCATTAATCTTGGCTAGGTCCTCTCTGTATTTCACCTAAATTGCAGCAATAACCTCCTAATTTCTCTTCCCAACTACTTTCTCCCTCTTCAGTATATCCAAGCATGTTTAAGATTAAACATTTTAAAATGCAATAGTAATAAATACTAATTACACTAGGCCTGAAGAAACAGCTCAGAGGCATAAGCACTTGCCTGGCAAGTGCAAGATACCAAGTTCAATCCCTGGTACTGCAAAAATAAAAAAAAAAAACATTTTTTTTTAAAAACTAATTGCATTATCAGTAAAAAAAAAACTTGAATGGCAATATATTTAGGTACATATACAGAATAGTTTGAATAACCGTGTCAATTTCTGCTAGTCTTTTGAAAGGCACAGTTAATGCTTAAAGTTTTTATTTTACTCAGATTTTTTTTCTTCCTGTTTTGAATTTCTTATATCTTCCTTGTTACTGTTTTCTTTGTTTTCTTTAAACAACTCTTACATGTTTATATCTGGTATCTGAACAACTAATTTGAAGATAGCATCGTACAATACAGCAACCATTGTTGAGTTCCTATTAGTTTAGTGAAATCTTGTACCATTTCTAATGCTGTTTTTTTTTCTATCACTATTTTGCATACTTTAAGAATAAAAAATAAATAAAACCTTGAATAGCTAATTTTTAAATTTAATTTTATTTTGAGGAGTAAAACCAAAAGCAAAATCAAATAGCTGAAACAAAGACAGAAACTGGGTAACATAATAATACACATTACAGATTTTCATAACAATAGCTCATTAACAATGGTTGTCATAGTCTCTATTTTTAGCGTCAAATCTGTTGCTCACTGAATCGCTAATTATTATTTTTTTTTAATGTATTTGGTACAGAGTCTCACTACATAGCTCAGACTCATAGTGCTACTCCTGTTTTCAGCCTCCCCAGCGCTGGGATTACACACGTGCGCCACCAAGCCCATCTCCGTGGCCCATTCAGCCCTGCCCAGGGGCGGGGCCGGTGTGGCATGTGGTGTTAGGGATTGAACCCGGTCCCTGCACATACTAAACAGGCACTTAGTCCTCTAAACTATCCCGTGGGCCCTGAATGGCTAATTTAATCCAACCAGGAAAAAAAACCTTTCACCTTGATATCATGTACGTAAAGTTGATTAAAATTTTTGAATCTAGATAAGATCATTATTTCATAAATTAGACCCAAGAAATAACTTTACAATCTAGGTATATATGATTAGAATTCCACATAAATCATAGGATTTCAAAATCAGAAATTTGTCTACCACCTTAATTATCCGTCTCCCAACCGTACCAGGTAAAGTCTGCCCATTAAACACAGAGCTCAGCAACAGTGAAGATCCCAGAGGAATACCACAAATTATGCTAAGGTTAATAACAGTGTTTCAAAATCAAAGTAGGCCTCCATTCCACTTCTGACCATGATGGCTTAACAACCTAAAGACTTAACTTCTCACTGTAAATAACTAGAAAATTAGGCAAAATATACAAAAAAAATTTTTTTGGACATTTGGCAATAAACAGCACAGGACTATATAGTACCTGAGAGGAAGTAAAGTGAGTTCTACAATCATTCTAGTTTTTTTCTCAAATGCAATTTCCAGATCACATGTATAGGGAAAGAAAACCTAAACAGGGCCAAGAAACTGAAATAAAGTGAATAAAGAGGGTCCGGGAGAGGGCATTAAGGTTTGGTGTTGGAGCAAAAGCTTAGCATGTGGGAGTTTCTGGGCTTGATCCCTAGCCCCACAAAAAATAAAGTGAGAAAAGCTGAAAATTGAGGAAAACTAAAATGGTGAGAAATCTGGAGCGAAGATACAAAATAAAATGTGTCTTTCACACTTTACTGGTACTAGTCTGT